CACAGTTGAACTCACACAGTACTTCTTGGTGTGGATATAATTAAATTCCACTGCTGCATGCATGCCAACAGACGCACTAAAATCGTACATGTCGTGTGCTGCATCGAGCACTTATAGCTCAAATATTGCCTTTCCACATTTCCTTTCTCTACCCTTTCCTACGCTTCATTGACTGAAATCTCTTGTCTCTGGTTCCTTCCTTCTTCTGCCAGCGTGAAAAAACTCCACGACGTTGGGTGAAGGACTGTTTCCATCTACAGGGACTGTACTCCTCAGGTCAATACTCTGGAATCCCAAACAGAAGATCGACTGGGGGTCTCTGCTCGACGACAAAATGGTCAGTTAATCTTGGGTTTGGTTTAACTGAACATCTGCATGGACTGGTAAAGGTCACAGGTTTGAAAACGGTCCTGTTTCCTGTGATTTACAGAGACAGTAAAGGTCAGAACGTAGGCAAAGCTGCCGACGTGGAGAAGCGATGGCACGAACATACATCCCTGCACAGGAAGATCGAGGCGTACAAAGACCCGCTTGCCAGCCCAGCAGCACCAGCTCAAGGTAACAGGCACACAACCAGAGAAGGGGCAGACCTCAGCAAACAAGTGTTACATCACAATCAATACATATGGGCTAAAGAAACGTTTATGATACTTAGACCGTTTAGTTCAGCAGGATAATCTCCACCATATTAACAAACCACTTAACGGTTTGTGAGTAAAAAGCTAATGTTGGGTTGACAAAGGAATACCGCATGGGTCACATGACTTCCACGTCACCCACCGCTAAGAAAGGTGGCTAATGTTGGGCTATAAAGGAACTACAGCAGGTCACAGACTCTCAGTCACCACCGTCAAGCTACAAGGTGGCTAATGTTGGGCTATAAGAACTACAGCACCGGTCCATGACTCAGTCACCACCCGCTAAGCGAAGGAGCTAATGTTGGGCTATAGCGACTCAGCACGGTCACATGGACTCTCAACGTCACCATCGCTAAGCTAAAGGAGGCTAATGTTGGGCTATAAAGGAACTACAGCACGGTCACATAACTTCACGTCACCACCGCTAAGCTAAAGGAGGCTAATGTTGGGCTATAATGGAACTACAGCACGGTCACATGACTTCACGTCACCACCGCTAAGCTAAAGGTGGCTAATGTTCGGCTATAAAGGAACTACAGCACGGTCACATGACTTCACGTCACCACCGCTAAGCTAAAGGTGGCTAATGTTGGGCTATAAAGGAACTACAGCACGGTCACATGACTTCACGTCACCATCGCTAAGCTAAAGGTGGCTAATGTTAGGCTATAAAGGAACTACAGCACGGTCACATGACTTCACGTCAGATAAAATGCAGACTCAATTCCGGGTTTAAGACTAATTTCTGCACCGCTCTATTGTCCCTCCAGGCTTCCTTACATTCAAGACAAACCTGGATTTTGGACATTAATAATACTTTCCACACTACTTTAGAGACACTACACTAACCCTCATGACCAGTCAAATGTTCTGTGCAGATGTAGTGCCACTGGTTAATATTTTCTAAAATATTTGTAATGGTTTTTGAGCCATGGCAAAAAGCCAGCATCAGAGTAGTTGAGACTGGTTTTTATCCTAGGCTATTTACCAGAAAGGCCTTGAGCTAAATACGCAGTTGTTGATCACTTGCGACCTGTAGAGAGGAGCGTTGAGTCAGCCGTTAGTAAGTGTAAAACAGTCACTAAAATATGCTTTTGGACAGACAGACACATGCACGCACAACTGCACACAGTATCTCCCCCCCGGTTAATAATAACACATACATATGACTTCAGGATGAATCATTCACCTGTGTGTTCTTCTTCTTTCTTCTCAGGAGCAGTACGCCGCCCTCAAGGACAAATATGACCAACTTTGTGTGAGTTTTTTTCCCCTGTGAGGCTTTGAAGTGTGTTTGAGTTGAGTTAAGTTCAGAGGGATGTGTGTATGTAATGCATGCTGTGTGTTGGGGTTCAGCAGATGTCGCAGAAATACTCACAATGCTAGAGGCCGGTTTCATAATCATATATATTAAGTTTTTTATCATCTGATAGGGTTCCATAAGGAATCGAAATGTAATCGAAATCTCAATATTGATTACTGCACTTTCTAATATAATAATATAAGAGTCTTTGAATATCAGAGGAACCTTTGGATGTGTTGATATACAACTAACTTACATCCACTTGCTTCTAGTTTTGAGTCTCTTGTAATCCATGCAGTATGCCTATAAGCTTTAACGGACACCACACTGTATGATAAACACTTTTTCCCCCTCTGGTTGTGCAGGAGTTGTCTCAGCAGCGGCGCGCTCACCTGGCCTCGCTGTATGAGTACGTGCAAAGCTGCAGGAAGGAGCTGAGCTACCTGTCGGGGCAGCAGGAGAGGATCCTGCAGAGAGACTGGAGCGACCGCTTGGTGGACGCCCCCAGTGTCCGCATGGAGTACGAGGTGAGGGGGGGGGGTGGGGGAGTCTTTAGCCGCTTTCACACCAAGCACTTAGCCCGGTACGTGTCCCCGGTATTTAGTCCCCCGGAAAACTCTTTAGTCCTCACGAACTGTCCTAGTAGAATCGCGTCCTCACCGGAATAAGTTCTTTGAGGGAGATTAAGGCAAAGGAAGCCGCTCACCGTCACTTCTCTTCTTTCTGCTTGGGTCAACAAAACATTTCGGAGTTTTCACCGGGCGTGGGTTTGCAATTTGCCGAGACAATCAGAATTTTTTGTGTGCCGACACACCACTCGACCATTTTTCATCCCCAGGAAAAGTGCCACATCTCTAGCAAGGGACTATCTGCAGCGGGTGAAAGGTTCACCGCAAACTACGACACGCAAACTAAAGGGGGCTAGGCCCAGGTCCTCTTGTGTGTGAAACCAAATCTCCCCCCTAATTGGGCCTAATGTTCGGGGGGAAATAAGTACTACCGGTGTAAAGCGCCTATTACGGGAGATTTTACATGTTTACGCAGTTTTTTGGTTTTACATGTTTTACAGTGTAACCATGAAAATCAAATCCGGTTACACAGCTCTGGATCCAACAGGTGTAACTGGTGCTGCTGGCTGAATGACGTCAACATTGGCTCATTTTAAAAAGACAATGGATTACTTGGCAGAAAACAACTCTGGTGTCAAACACAACGTTTATGACACTTACTACGTTTAGTTCAGCAGGACTAATCTCCACATTTTAGCACCCACTTTTTGAGTAACAGAGCAGTGAATTTGGCTACAAAAGGAACTACATGCAAGGTCACATTGACTTAACGTCACCACCGCTAAGACTAAAGGTGCATAAACGTTAAGCTATAAAGGAACTACAGCACGTCCACATGACTTCACGTCAACACCGCTAAACTAAAGGTGGCTAATGTTGGGCTATAAAAAGGAACTACAGCACGGTCACGATGTTCACGTCCCCTCCCACTGCTAAGCTAAGGTGGGATAATGTTGGGCTATAAAGGAAACGTACAGCACGGTCACATGACGTTCACGTCACCACCGCTAAACAAAGGTGGCTAATGATTGGTGCTAATAAATGGAAACTACAGCACGGTCACATGACTTCACGTCCTCCACTGCTAGCTAAAGGTGGCAATGGTGGGCTATAAAGAAACTACAAGCAAAGGTCACATGACTTCACGTCTCCACCGCTAAGCTAAAGTGGCTAATGGTGGGCTATAAAGGAACTACAGCAAGGTCACATGACTTCACGTCACCACCGCTAAGCCTAAAAGGTGGCTAATGTATGGGCTAATAACGGGAACTACAGCACGGTGCACATACTTCACGTCACCAACCGCTAAGCTTAAAGGACAGGCTAATGTTGGCGTGAATGAAACGCTGCTTTTTTTAAATTCTCCTCACGTGGGGTATTTAACTACGACGTATTTATATGGAGTAGAGGTTGTACAAATCATGTCCTTCTATTGTCTTTTCAGAAATTCAAAACCCAGCGTCTGCTATCTCATGAGAAGAGAATCATCAAGCTGCGGGGGAAGGGAGACGGCACAGGGGAAGGAGAAAACTCGTTGAAAAGAAACATCCTGCCAGCCTCCACCATTAAGGATACAGCTGTACGCTAAGATCAATGTGATGGTCAAATATGATGAAGGATTAAGAAAAATGTAGATATACTAAACTGAGGCATTTGTAATTTCACAGGCCTCACAGAGACGCTGTGCAGTCGGGGTGCAGGCCTTCCTCAACCTGGTCTGCTCAGAACCATATCACCTGGACACATCGAAGACTACAAGAGGTAGGAGACCCGCCTAAAAAAACAATGACTATGTTCATGAAGCGGAAAACTCAAGTAAACGTACAAGCCACCACTGAGAACAAAACCCTCGTCTCTTTTCCTCCGTACCCAAATCTCTAAAACGGGGGAACAGACGGAGCCGATCCAGATTTGGCGTCCGAATATCTGCACCGTAATATGTGAAAATGTGGGCGAGCTTAGACCCAACGGCCCGAATCAGAAACCGTGTGCTATCGAGAAACAATGCCCCGAGCTGTTTTGGAATTGTAGTATACTTGCGTCCGGTGTTTTACATTCAGCATCCGCTAACACCTCCGAGCTAACCTGTACTGGAGAGGAATGTTGTGAAGAAGCGGAAATAAAAAGGAACTCACCTTTGTGGGTAATAACCGCGACCAGGAGGAGAAAGCCCTTTGAGCTCCCATCCTGTTTCAGAGAGAATCCTTGATAAATCCATGGATATGCGCCGTTTCATCCGGCAAGTAATTTACTGTATCCTCGTAAATTCTGGCAGAGCATTAGCTCCCCCATCCTCTATCTTTTCTTTTCTTTTAAAGCTAGGAACCCAGTAATCAAGCCTTTTCTAACAGGGCTGGAATACAGGATGTCCTAAAACATGCATGATCTGTTTAGGTATTTTTGAGCAAAACACCTTCATAGACATGTTTTTATACTATTTGTTAGATATATCTGAGACCCATAATAGTATGCCATAAAGAATAGCATACCGCATAGCCGTGAACTTTAAGTGAAGTATATTATTGCTGGTGCCTCACAGTTCCAGCGCTGGATGGCAGAGCACGCTGTCCGGATTCTGTGAAGCTCAACTCCAATCTGACCCGAAGCTCTCAACAGGGAAGAGCAACCCAGAGGTCCTGATGCTTTGGAGGTAACACCGCTACTATATTCTTTTAATTTAAGAAAATTAGGTACATTAATTGGTCAACATCTAACCGAAGGTCATTTGTTATGGTTTGTGTTGTATACCTCACCATTCCTCCCCATCTGTCCCTCAAAGATNTAGAAAAACACAGCGCATAATCAATCAATCAATCAATCAATCAATCAATCAATCAATCAATGTTTATTTATATAGCCCAATATCACAAGTGTTGCATTTGTCTCCAAATGCAACACTTGTGATATTGGGCTATATAAATAAACATTGATTGATTGATTGATTGATTGATTGATTGATTGATTGATTATGCGCTGTGTTTTTCTATATCAAAACCACGGTTACCATTGATCATGAAACATGTCCACCTTGTGTTTTTACCATTGGGTCCAAACATGGAATCAATGGGCCAAATAAATGAATAGCAGAATTGGTTCAATCATTTCTACATCACCCTTGAGGCACAGAACTGCACTATTTTCTGCAGGGTAATGATAATCTGACAGCCTCACACCGGTAGTAGATAACAAGGGAGCTTGAATCCTCATTCTAACTTCCACTCTGTCAAATTTGCCCTCGTGTATACATTTAAACAGATTTAAGCTCCATTTTTGAATCAAGTGAGTGAGAAATGAAGTGCTGATTCTCAGCTTTGAGGTCTCCAGACTTGAATGCTCCAGTGTGCCACGACAGTAATTAGCTTAAATGTAATTAAGGATTATTAATCAAAAACAAAGAAATGTATAGTCGGTTAATTAACTGGAATACATGTGGCACAATAGATGAAAGGGAGGTAATCATTGAATTAAAACTATGTTATTTTCTATAAGCATTGCTGGATGTATGCATTAAGCATTGTGGAGTAGCCTTATAAGAAATAAATCTTCACAACTCCTTGGCTTTACCATTTACACTTTTAACTGTGACATTTTGGTCATATGGCAGCCTTTTACAAAATGATGTATTTGCTAGATGGCAACGGTGTCCTGCACCCACACTAATTACACCAGAGGAAACCTGCAGAGATGAAACAGGAGCGTTTCATGGACCATCTGGGGAGCGATTCAGTCGATACAGCCCTTGCAGTCATGTACTGATTTGTACCTGCTGTCACTGTTTTTTCCAGTTTTTGCCAGGACCAAAAAAGGTTCTCAAGGATGATTAAAAATAGTTTAAATTGACAAGCCCCTTCTGAATTGAAACCGGGATTGGCTGTAGATGTGTTGCCTTTGATCAGAGTAAAATCTTCGGTAGTAAAACTACCTGTTTCTCTCTTACAGCTAGAGACATGAAGTTATGAACGGTGATCAAAATATTGTAGGTGCAACTTGGTTGTAACTTGCTCCGAAATCTTAGATTTTCTGCCCCAACCAGTAACAGGTCTGTAAAAAGTCAAAGCATCCTTTAGTGCTAAATGGAAGTCATTTGATCTGGACATAGTTAATGGGATAAAAGCTGTCAGACTGCCTTTGCCACTTGGTAGTTTTCCAAAATGTCAATTGCGGTTCACTTGAGTAACATGAGTTGTATCATTGAATACATTCTACCCTTTTTCTGTAAGTTGTACTGTCATTATTGCCTAGTGGCTACTGTTTGTTATCATTAGAATTTGGAACTTTAAATGGCACTTTTTACCTCAAAATAAGCTTCAGGGTTCAGATTTCTCCAGGGTGGTTCATCAGGAGCTGGGTTGTGTTCACTGTGCAGACTTCACAGATCAGTGATGGGTCAAACCTGCCAGCATCATCCAGCAGATGGAGCCCTTAAACTGCAGCTGCCTGTGGCTTCCTTCAACATCCAAATATGTATACTGCTCTCCACTCTGCCATCATGAAGTTTCTCTGCAGTACCTGGTAGGGCAATTACGGAAAAAAAGACAATCATTTCAACACAATAACAAGCCATTTGTTTAACTCAAACTACGAGTATGGAAAGCAGTGTTCTCTTTGCTTTCTGATGTTTATACCAAATCATCAACATTTTATATTGTCATGAATTTCTTACAACTTTTTAAAAGACAATCTGTTCATTTGCACATCTCACATGCATATATAAATTACATGTAGGCTATTGTTATATTTTTGTGAAATTCTCAGGAGTTACACTCTAATAAACAATATAACTGGTAAGTACCAATACGAACTGGTAAACTGTGTGGAAATCAGCTTAAGAAAGAAAGAAAGAAAAAAAGAAAGAAATATATTTCCTTGTTTACATTTGTGTATGGGACTCACAAAACAACTATTTTCGTTATTTCATTCCAAGATGGTGGATACAAGAAAGATAGAAAATAAGTGTGTAAGGAATGTTCTACTTACCACCAAGTACAAAACCACAGCTTCACATTCAAACATTTCATTTCAAACAGCACTGTTTGAGAGGGCTATACGACGGCAAGCACGATGGACAAATAAACAAGAACGAGAAACTGCCTCCTAGTTACCAAAGATATTACTAGCAAAAGAGAGGTCACCGCCGCTGGAGACCACTTTGGGACACAGTCGTAGGGCCATTAAAGCAGTGGAGACATTAGCCTAGCATAAATGGCGTCGGGTAATTTTTGCGTGTTGCCAGATGCCTATCTTCCACTTTGTACTACATTTACTTCGATGTACGTTTGAAAAACAATCTTTATTTAACATTAAACTAATAAAAAGGGTGGTTATTCATTAAAATAGTGTAACGATTTGGGAAAGAGCTCTTTTGTGGCATTGGGCTAATCTTTCCTCCACAGAATCTTTGATCTTAGAGCATCATAAGAGGTGACAATACATCCACTCTGGTACATTTCCTGTTTATTTTAATCAATTTAATGTGTGCAATGCAGACCTTCTTTTTATCTTTAGCACATTAATAAGATTCCCATTTAAATAATAACAGATATTTTCCATTTTAAACTGTCAAACTGTGTAAACCACTAATAAATCAGACTGCTGCAGTCCCCATAGCAACAGAGGAGTGGGTGGGCATCACAAAAGGCAAAGGGTCACGTCATGATTCATGCCTCTGGAGTTCACATCCAAATCTGTTTATAATCTTTAAGCACTAAAACCCAAATGCACCCACAATACCTTATAACCATCCGCTTCCCTATCAAAGATTAAAACCTTAACATTTCCCCAATTTCCTACAGCACAGACATGGTACAATCTGCCTTCATAAGAAAAGCATAACCAATGGCTTCCCCCCTCCCTCCGTCTGGCAGGTACCACTTCCTGCTGAGGGGTTGATGCTATCCATCCACCCCAGATCTAGTGCTCATTGTGGCAGAATTACAGTGCACTGGACTGTACAGAGCAGGGTAGCATCCAGGCTGCTGTCTGTGAGGGGTGGGGTCCGGCTACACTGATACCACCAAACGAAAGCTAACAGAGAGGCAGAAAAGGAGAGGAAAAATAGAGCGCAGAGGGGGGAAGATTGCACCTACAGAGGACTATAAAACGGGTAAGGAGAAAAGGGGGTGGGTGGAGATAAAGGGTAAGAGACAATGGAGAAAGGTCCAGAATTGTTCAAATAGATTCGCTCCTTTGCTGCTTCTGCTTCCCCCCTGTTGACAATACATTTTTCTTGATTCCTTTTCCATATGACACCTTTTTGTTTAAATCATATGTATATTTATTTAACATTTCATGAATATATTTATGTGATTATTCTATTCTACATTTGATCTGTGGGTATTCTTGCTTGTGGTGTGGGCCATGGTGTATACATATGACCATTTGGCCCAGTAAAGATTATTTTGCATTTGATTGAATACATAGACCCATGCTTTTGTTCCTATTTGCAATTATATATTGGAGGAGGGGTGTCAATTCTATAATACAATATTGGCTGATATTCATACTTATTCATATTGGAAACTGACTGGTTTCATGGCTGTGCAACCAAAGTTTCAACATACTGTATGTAAATAAGAAATATATGCTATACTTGTTGAGCATATCCTTCATCATGTTCTGTATGACACAATAGTGCTGAAAGAATGACTTTTTTTCAGGAACTTTAAGGTCAGTCAGTGATTTTGATCAGCCACCTAGATGTGTAGAAAAAAGCTAACTTTGCAATCAGTAACCTAATGTTTATGAGCAGGAAATACACACCTCCATCTCAAAGCCTTTACAAATTAGGAATACATTTTATTTTATTTTTAGAAAGATGGCACACTTAGTCAAAGTATTGATTTGTATTTTTAAGATGTTTGGAATGATCATTTTCTGGAGAAATATAAGGCAACCAATTCAATGGAAAATGTAAAAAAGAAAAAAAAGATTTACAGAATGTATTTGTATTTCCATGCCATTGTTATCCCTGGAGCTTAAATGTTGTTGTGTTGGTGGACAGGATGAAAGGAGACACCCCAGTGAACAGTACCATGATGAGTGTCGGTCAGGCCAGGAAGCTGGTGGAGCAACTGAAGATAGAGGCTAGTTTCTGCAGGATAAAGGTAAGACAAGCTGGACGCCTCACATTCAGATATAAATCATACACTAAATCCAAAATTGAGTTAAATCCAAACAGTCGACTAAATACATTTCCAATTGGCTTTTTGAGAAGCGAAACAAATATTTGTTTATACAAGTTCAAATAATTTCATGCCCAACACTGAAATCAAACGTGTTACTTGCTCATGTCAAGTACATGCCCACACAAAGTCATAATGATACATTATTTGTATTGAATGATTAATAATGCTGCACAAACTAAAACCGCCCTCATATTAAACAAAGTCCACTTTGATTTGCCCATTGACTTATAAAGCATCTAAGTTGAAAGAACAGCACTAAATGATCTTGACATTTACATCTGTTTTGCAGTTGAAAGAGAATCACAGGTGATCAATACACTCTAAGTCCATGCTTTCCATGGAGGAGTTTCCAGTGGAAAGCATGACTTTTGACCAGAAAAAGGGTTAGTTTTAATGCTTTAAAAGGCGTACTTCTCTTTACTCAAAGACTTCAAGAACCAAAACACATTTAGAAATTCAACATCAACCTTTAAACATTTAGATATAGAACTCTTTATAGCGATACTTGAAGTATTAAACTGGGTCAAATCAAAGTAAATCCATATTTCTATTCCCACACTTCCCGCTCAGACTCTTCTGTTATTGATTCTGTATTGTTTCATTCTCTGTTTTGGTCCTAATGATCTATTACCCCTATGTTATGGCTGTAATGTGAGACCATTTTAACTGCAGACATCTAGTATTCCTAAAATGAATCAATATTAAACCTGCTCATACTGTTGGTATTATTTATAATAGTATACTAATTTACCAAATACATACAATTTAAAAAAAACTGCTAAAGTGAATGAATCCGTGGATTAATAGAATAAGTTAAATTAGCTCTGCTTCAGTTGGCTAGAAAAATGTAATGCGGCTTAAATTAATAATAATAATAATAATAATAATCCAATTGTATACATTTGTAAACTGAGACCATTTTTGTATACTTGTACATTTTGCAGACATTACTAACACATTTTTACAGTAAAGTTTAGAATGCAGGACTTTTATTTGTGACAAAGTATTCACTTTTTTTGGAGAAAAAAAAATGGAAATTGTATTTCTTTATTCGAGTAAAACATCTTAATACTTCGTTCTCCCTTGTATTTCCAATATGTAAAAAATATTGCAAAAGTCCTCCAGTGGAGATCTTGAATGTCTTGCAAAAATCCAGAGAAAACAACCTTTGATTGAAACGTGATGTTGAGTTGTCCCTGATTCTGACCGTCCTCTCAGGTATCGAAGGCCGCGGCGGACCTGATGGCGTACTGCGACGCTCACTCCTGTGACGACCCCCTGATCAGCCCCGTGCCCATCTCAGAGAACCCCTACAGGGAGAAGAAGTTTTTCTGCGCTCTGCTTTGAGACCAATCAGGGATTTCTGTGATTAAAAGTACAACTGTACAGTATGTACATGTATGTACAGTGTGTACTTCTGATCTGAATGAGACATCAATGTACTATAGGAACCTTGCATAAAAGCTGCCGATGTACAGTACACAATCAACTCTTGAACTAAATTATTTCACTGCTAAAGTCTCAATGTAAGAGGGGAAAAACAAATATAACAAAACCCAAACATTCAATCGAGAGTCAGAGTTATCATAATCAAAAGTAAATAAACTTAGGAAACAGCTATTATTAGTTTAATAACACATGTCATGCTTATTTACATTATAGGTAACTGCCAAAAAAGGATAATTATATGGAACATGCAGGGAGGCAAAGTCCCACGCTTTGGATTTTGCTCGGTCAGATGCTGCTCTGACAGTTCAAGGCTGTCACTTCGGCCCATTATAATGTTCATACATCTGTGATTGAAAAAAAGCCTATGTTAGGTACATTTATGAAATGTCCTATCTGGTTGCTACTTGTAGAGGTAATAGCACTCTTCTTCAGATTAACGCTCTTTCAGTGTTCTGTCTCCATCAACAGCTAGCTTAGCCTTTTAGAGCTACACATTCATTCAATAGAGGAACAAATCCAGCGGAATGAATCCTAAAACCCAAGAAATGAGTTGTACTTCAGGTTCCGTTTGGAAGTCAATGGGTTTTCAGCTAGATGCCTGAAATTAGTTGTGTGTCAGTAAGAGACTTTACAGTTTTGTCAACCTGCTTGTGAATTTTGAGGCTTTTACATGTTGAAAAAAAACAAAAAGGTCTGGCTTACGCTTCTAAAATCATAGTGATGATAATTTGTGAAGAGCATCTTACTAACAAGACAGGTGGTATGATAAACGTTTGTTGGCCAGGACTAATTTTCCACTTAATCAAAAAACTAAAAGGAACATTTGCTAAATGCTTATTTGTAGGACTACAAAATACTTCAACCCTGCAGCACTCAGTTCTCTTTTCCAATATGTTTTGTATCCCTCTGTTTTGGCAGTTACTTGTATCTACCAAGTCCAGGCTGTGTTTATGAGTGGAGCCATTTCATTCAAGGTTTATTAAGATGTTAGCATTTTGCTCATTTCTATACTATTGCCGTCGTGTGTGTGGAAAGGTGCTACTGTGAAACTTAAGCCAGAATCCTGAGTCTGATCACGGTCGGAAAAAATATGTTATAGTTCAATAGCACATAGACCCGAAAGAAAAAAAACATTCCTAGGGTTATGAACATTTAATATATAATCTAAGCCATTAAATCAAAATCAGCTATATGATTTGAGTCTGTCACAGGAACAGTTTTATATTTCTGCAAGGTAAACAAAATAAATGCAGTCGTCAAATGTACTTTTAAAGTGTACATTTTAACCAATCAGGTGTGATGGGCCCTTCAGCCAAACGTCTCCTCTCATTCATGGGAAGCCAGGACGAATGTGAATGACTTGGGAATTCCTTTTATTAATTAAAATGTGTCGCTTTCTCTGTGGTTATTTCTCCATCTATAATACAGGCAATGACATATTTATGTTAAATGTCTGCAAGAAAAAGAAAATTGCTGTAATTTGGAGTTCCCCTAATCTCATGAGCTCCACGGCATCTTCAACACAATAAAACATATGTTCGAAATCTTGCAAATAACAAATGTGGTGCTTTGCAAAAAGAGAAACCATGGAACATGAAGAACTGAAATAAAACCTCCTGGTATCAAAGATGTTTTCGCACTTGTGATTTTATTTGATAGAAATCGAATCTTTAATGAACATGTAAGAGAAAAACATGTGTGGAATATAAAAACTGAAGAGTTTACATACACATTAGCGAGTGTTTCACAAAGAGCTGCTACACAACAGTTACACCTTCAAACAGCTGATTCAATGACACAACCCAGACATGCACTACTGCAGGTTTTACAGGTTAATAACATGTTTGGAATAGCATGCATTAAGGCATCATGTTAGAAACAGTCAAAGATAGTGTGGAGCTCAATGCAAACTAACACCATGTGATCTACTATTGTTTAAAGGTTAGTTAAGACACATATAACCAATACATTACATAAGTTTTGTCACACGAGATTCTACTGAAGCTGCAAATGGTGTTGTTCCAGTAGAGCATATCAATACTTGAGCAGCTTCACTGTTAACGGACAAACAGGGGTTGATTTACTCTCTCGTTGGATTGGATTTGTCATAATATTCTAACGGTGTTTATCCAAAACCTCTCATCCTGGTAGCCATTTACGACAGTGTTTCATCAGAGTTTTTATTTATACACTTTCCCCCCATCTTAAAACCAGCTTTGACAAGACGTGGCCACGGTGCTTCTTTATTTGCAAGAACAAACATAAAAGGTGTTTCCAATACAAAATGAGCTTCTCTGCTGAGACCAGTTTCACATTCATTTTGAGGTTTTCGTTTTTGTCTGTCACATAAAATCAGTTACATCTTCAACCAGACATTTCCAAACTGACAACCTACAAGAGATCCTTAAAAACATTGTCCTATAGTGACATCATGCAAAACTGTGATATGATGCACAATTATGAGGGGAAAAAAAGAGCGCTTACGTGGACTTTCCAATGGCTTTAAAAATGGATAAACCGGGCAAGATGGCAACAAAGTTAAAGGCTTTAAACGTAGAACAAAGTATTTGAGCTTAAAATATGTCAATTCCTAGTAAACGACCAACAATTGATGAATCAAAATCGAAACGTTGACCGTAAACAAAATGTAAATGCAGTTTTCCAATTAACCTAGAAAAATTAAATATAATGAACATGAGCACTCTTATCCCTTAACTGGAGACTTGACAGTCTACTAAATGTTATTACAGCACAACATTAATAAAGGTATATTCATGTGTCACTGTGCTACAGCCCTACGAGGACATGTTCAGATGTTCACCATAAAAAGGCCTACCGACGTCACAGCCAGATAAAATGTTACAATATGAATATCATTTTAAAGGAAGATGAATCCTACTTGTGAAAGACCATGAAATTGGCATTTGTGAATTCTGTTTGGGGTCAAGAAATATACTTACAGCTTTGAGTGTAATTTAAATATAAAAATGACTTCAATAACTTCATTAGGGTGCACAGTGTCAGTTCATATTTGTGGTATAGCTGAATATAATGGATAGCACTGAAGAGGTAATGTACAGTTTGGACTTCAGAAGTAGAAAACGATGACTGAACACTTTATAAGAAGGCGTCACACCATTCTTTGAGGCACCCAAAGCAGTCACCTTGTTGTTTGGTATTTGCAGAGCAAGTGTCTTTCAGCCAGTCCCGGAAAAGCTCCTCGTCTTTCTTCAGCACCAGAAACTGTCCGAGGACCACGTACGCCTGTGGAGGGAAAGACAGACACGGAAATATAATAAAGACAGGAATGCAAGGGTTTCCCACATTAACGGCCCCGTTGTTAAGAAGCCAGTGTTCAATCACATCTCGGAAAGCATGAAGAGAATAGGTGAAAGGCTGAGACTAACCCTGTGAGTCACAGCCTTTCACACTCACCCCAAATAATCATTGACTTTTAAGAAGACAAAGACAGTGTGTGCCGTGCTGTCTTTGTCTTCCTGGAAGCAAAGGCACTAAATTGCACATGGCCTTTCCGTTAATAAACAAACACAACATTGATTCAATCAAAAACGTGCCATATAAATAAAGTGTATTATTATTATTAGACAATCCAGCAACTGCTTTAACACTAGGGATGCTCCGATCGATTGGTCACCGATCGAGATCGGCCGATACTCACTCTCCACCGATCGATCGGTGCTCTCTAAACATGCCGATCGCGCGGCAAAACAAGCTCGCTAAAATCGCTTCACCGGTCCGGCATTATTTTAAGGTGTCCGAAAAAGACAGTAAAATAGCGGAATGCAACGTGTGTGTGAAGCAGAAATCCGGTGAGCGGAGCGAAACACACAAGAGTTAGACCTAACAAACACACGTAGCAATTTTATCTACCTCTGGAACAAGCTAAACTAGTTATAAATATATTTATTCTTCGGGTCACTCATTACTGGATGAGTGAGCTGCGTGAGATAATGACAGGCTGTCAGGAGCGGGAGAGAGGGGGAGAGAGAGAGAAAAAGAGAGCGCTTCCGCTCATTTCTCCCGTGTTATTATCCAAAGTTAATGTAAGCTTGAATAATGTACATCATTTGAATGTAATAATTAAGTTGATTGTTGTTTGTGGAAGCTCCAGTGAATCGAACCCTGTCCTAAAAACCCGGCTTAGCAGCTTAGTCATAGCCGACGTATGAACTAGCCGGCTTCAGGCTAGCTCACCGCCCCGGATTCTTACCCTTCGAAATTTTGTAGTGAATTTAGAAGCGGTAATTTCACTACAAATTTTG